GTTTTTACATGGAGTAAATATGTGTACAGAACATACAATAAACGCTACGTCGAAATTACCATAAAATAAAAAACAACGAACTCGTTTCCACGCCCCAACATAACGGAATTGCTTCATTTCTTTAGCAAAATGCGAAAAACTCATAACATTAGAGAAACGTGAGCAAACAAACTAAAATTGTCAGAACAATCTGGGCGTATTCGCCCGAAATGTCGTAGTACGCGGCTCTGTGACCTTTCGGCGTTTTATCTAAAAATACGCCAGACTGAAGCTGCAGTTTCTCCGGCCGACTGCTTGGAGAAGTTACGAAGAATCGTATTTTAATGCCCTTTATTGAAGTCGGCTCTTAACCAACCACTTGAAGTCTGAGAGCACTACGCAGTTTCGGGTTCCCTTTTTGAGGAGGATTTTCTTTTCGTAAAATGGAATAGCTTGTATTTCAAAAAATAATTATACTATTAAGTACAAAGTTAGTATTTTTCTTTGTACCTAATTGTTTGTAAAAAATATACAATTACGAAAAAATGTAAATGTTGTCCAAAAAAAAGAACATCGTCTTTTTAGAAATTAGATTACGCAAACGGAATCTTTATAAAAGGAAATTAGCAAGTATCTAGTTACGATACGAAAATTAATGAGAATACAACATTATTATGAAAATTATGTATCTACTAATTTGTTACGTTTTCCATTTACATATAGTAGCTTTACTGTTTATAAAACACAATGAAAATATCTTTCTTCTTTGTAGTTGGTTAAAAGATATTCGAAACTAACATGAACATACTACATAATTGTGAGAAAAATCAAGCAAAACAAAGATGGAAAATAGTTGATTTTTCTTTTATTTTATCATCGACTGGTAACAATTTGATATTCTTAGATTTTACTATGAAAATGCTGTCTGCCTTAATTAAAAAATTTAATGCAGAACTTTCATGTCCTTATTTAAGTAAAAACGTGCGCAGCTCATTGTGTCAGTAAGCTGCGCGACGTCGCCGCGACCGCGCACGCTGCTCATGAGGAAGAACCCCTCTGTGGTTCGAAAGTAGTAGAGCTTTTCTCAGTATATTTACGAGAGTAACCCGCGATTTTACTTAATTTAGTATGTTTCATGTCCTTCGCTGTCAACCAGCCGATGTAAGAGTAATTGGGAGAGATTTATCTTCAGCAGTAGACATTGTGCGTGATGAGATAATGATAACGGTTAATTTAGTAATTTATGATTCAGATGGCCAACAAAGTGTCCAATAATTAGGTACTAAAACGACTTGTTAATTTCTAATCAATTGAACTCGAACTTATGAAGTTTGTAAGTCGTTCTTCTCCATATAAAATCTATATTTTGGAACAAGCCCCTAGTCCCACAGACGGACAGTTTATTTTTGACGTTACAAACGTGTGTGTATATAGTTTGATTAAAAGAAAGATTTTGAGTTTGGTCATGAAAACGTCAGAGTCAAAAATGTACAAAAAACCCTAACTCGATATAAACTAATTCCTGTTACATATGTATGTATATCTTGCAATATACGTATATTATTCTGCCAAAAAAAATTACCCATTATACATACTCAAAGCATACATAAATAAAGAAAATACGCGGTAAACGATGTGGTATTCAAGATTCGTAGTACATACTTGCTACGCGTGCTACGAATGCCTACGAAAATCTTTGTAATGAAATCGTAGACGTCTCTCGTAGACAGATTACTACGTCTTTAGTTTAAAAATCGTAGCGTGGTTTGTTTAGAAAATATCATAACATCACGTCTTTAATCCCCGACGGGATAGGCAGAGGTGCACATTACGGCACTTAATGCCGCCATACAATGTAACACCCACTTTTCATTATTTATGTTAGGAGTCCCATGTAATAAGGGGTGAGTCTATTGCCATATACCGGGCATAATTCCAGACTTCGTGCTACCACTAAGATTTAAAAAAAAGAACCAGTAACTATTACTTTGCCCGACCCGCTGGCACGCAACGTGTCGCGGGTTTGATTCCCGCACGGAGCGACTCTTTGTGTGATCCACAAATTGTTGTTCCGGGTCTGGGTGTCATGTGTATGTAAACTTGTATATTTGTAAACGCACCCACAACACAGGAGAAAATCCTAGTGTAGGGCAAAGTTTAAAAAAATAGTCTCGGTCTAAAGCAATTTAATATAAATACACAAAACTATGGAACAACCAACTCATTTACATATTATTATACACATATGTATGCCAAAAGGAAATGTGATAACATTGTTAGTATGTAAACTCGTCACGTTATTTTATATTGAAAACTATTTATTTATTATCTATGTCAGTTATAAAACCGGATTACATGACTGTGTAGGCTGAATACGTATATTCAGTGTTCACTTATAAAATTTTTAATTGTTAAATTCAAAAAAAGAATGAATTTGCGATGACCTCGTGCCCGTTTTCATTGACCGGTATGGCGTTGAATGTGTTTGAAAATTGGAATTGAATTGACCATAAACTTTCTAAAAAGACTCCACATTATTACTGAGTTTCTATAATAAATTTTATCGTTTTGAAGATGGAAACCGAGGCAAACGAAACTTTGAAACGACATTCGCAATTTTCACGTCGACAAGATAAGGTAGTACTCGTTTACCCTTGCCCGATGCGAGAATCTAACCGCGACTTCCCACTCGGCAGCCATACTTGAAGTTTGCCAATAAACCAGTCTATCTAGGTACTTATCTATTATTAGAAAAATCGTAAAGTTGTTCTCATCACAGACATGACTGCGCGATTTTTTTTATTTCAAGGACAACACCCATACTCAACACGAATTCGGCCTTGAGCTTGTCAAGCAGCTACCGCAATGACGCTGATGACTTTTTGTTTAGAAAAAATTTGAAACAATATTTTTATTTAGCTGTTTTTTTTTTAAAGTGGTAGAGACATATGCATAAACTTTTACTCGTAGTTTTCAGTCAGTTATGGCATATTATTAAATAGTTTCATTGTAAAACAAGGTTAAAAGAGAAAAAATGTTAATACTTATACCTAATACTTTCGAAATAAAAACTGAAGTTAAAACATACAGTTAAATGTAATAAATCAACTCGTAGTTATCGAGGACAGAGGAAAAGGTAATAGAATTTTAATTAATTTGAATACACAACACACAGAATACTTACTCAAGTATTGTTTTAAATAAATTCACGCAAAATTAGTATTGTAATTCACTAGTTTCAATTTAAATTCATACACCGTTTACAGGTTTCTGGAAAATCCCAAAATTATTAGTCATTTTTCTATTAATTTTTTGATCTAATTTTATTATGTAGGTTAAGTTTACCACCAAATGTAATAAAACACCCTTAGGCTGAATAAGTAGTTGCCTTGAACACAACAATTTCACAAAGGAAATCCAACAAAAATAAGTATATGTGTCACTATGCCTTATTGTTACCACAACGCGTCTTAGTCATAAGAAAAACCTAAATTCGCAATTCTTACGAAGATCTTGAAGAAAACACGAAATTAGTACTAAAAGAGAATTTAAAGAGATAATGCTAAAGTAACAAAACTTAAATACGATACGAGGCACATAGAAAATAGACGCGCATACGTTTTCTTATAGATAAGTAGACCTACTTCATTTCGTAGAAAGAAACGAGATTGTCTTTGACCTAAAAATTTGGCAAGACCTAAAGAACGTTAATATCCTTAGAACTATACATAAAACATTATAAATTTTTACTGCTATGATGTATTTTTTACTTTTTAAACGATGTTATCGCTGAGAACAAAGTTATTTGGGTTTTTTATCAAAATTCACGCAACGTTGCGATGTACCGCACTTCCTACATACATAACTACATGTACTCATTTTTAGTTCACCCTCTTACATAAAACAAAAGAAAAGACTACCTACAACGTCTTTGTAACAAAACTACGCTCTAAGAAATTGAAAATCCAATTTGAACGGACGAATAATTCGATTTAAAAATAGTTTTATATAAGAAAAATTAACTCACCTTTAAACGGTTTCAGCGGGAACTTTTTAAAGTTTATCCACTCACTGGCATGCCTTTATAAGTTACGTTTTTAAATAAAAAATATCACGTTTCTTGTCTTAATTCTATTTACAATTTTATTTACAGTTATCCGTAAATTTCGGAATGATACTGGGGTTTGTTGAAACGTCAGTGGTGTCGCATATGTTTTACGCATGCGCGGCACAAGATGGCGGCTGCGAGGCGGGTCGATAGCTCGCGATAAGGTGGCCGAAGGCTGCGCCACCATTGCCGGGTGACATTGTGCTAACGGGGTAACATAAAAACGAGGTCACCGATTCGTATTAGCCCGCGCTTCCGCGGTACGATGATACCAGGGTATTTATTTTGTTGCCATAAGAAAATATTTAAAATATTTTTCAGCGTCGATGGCAAGGTTTCTTTGTAGATACCTAAATTACCTAATAAAGTTATATCTGCGTTTTTATATTGATTGTCGTAAACTAATGATTTTTAGATTATTACAATTAATAGAGTACGAAACAAAAAATTTATGGAGTTCCTCAGGGTTCAGTCTTAGGAACGCCCACTAATTGTAAAAGTGAAAACTTTGAAATCCTCATTCATTTTCAGTCTAAGGTGAAGCTTTTTAATCCCTAATTTCAAGCCTTCAATAAAATATGAGCTTAAAGGTAATGGTATAAAATGGGGCAATTAGTTTTTTTTTAAATTAGTTATTAAAAGTAATTAAAAGTTTTTTTTTAATTTTGTGGTTGCAGGCACCACAGCCAAGCAAAGGTCTCGGCGGTGTTTATTTAGTTGTACAAGGGACTTATAACACGACTGAAAAAAATGTGTGTTACATTTAATATTAGCAATCGAGTGCCGAGTGCGTGTTTCTTTTACAACGTTAACGCGTCTAGCTCTCTGACGGGTCGGTTAACTTCTTATTCTATATACAAGAAATACTAACTTATCCTAAGAAAAAAACACAATAAAGTATAAAAAAAATAATTTATTCATCATCAACATCGGACTTCAAATAGTGGACTTCAGGATCGGAGGAAACGCGACCTCGAATACGCGCGAGTGCTGCCATACCTCGCGATCGCGTCAGCAAAATGGCGACCCATACTAAACCGACCATTGCAGCGATTGCTAGTACAATTGTTACTGCTAATGTTGCTCCACTCATTCCTGTAATAAAATCAATATTAAATACTGTAAGGAGGCCCAACTCCTCCCCTCCCCAATCTCGACAATCTCCAAATCCTTAACCCCAAAAGGCCAGCAACCCACTTGTTACTCCTGTGATATTGCGGGTGCCCATGGAAAGCGCCGAATGCTTAACATCAGGTGATTCCATAAAAAAAAAACAGAAAAATGTAGTATTTCATCCGCTGTAAAGTATTGAACAACGAATATAGATAATTTTCCATGACTTATAGGACGATTTTTCTTTTATTTTGCCTCTAATGCCATGTTAATATTTTAAGGAATCTGAAGACTAAAATTGGTTACAACATATTGGTTTCCACCAACCTCTCAGAAGTGGCACCAAACGGTAAAAGAAATTGGCAGTTTAGGTGCTCCAGCACACTAAGTTACTCTTAGGTAAGAAATGGTTTAATTGTGGTGGGTCAAAACGGCCATAAGACTCTTCGCATTCGATTTTCTTTAAGACTTGCTCTTAGTGTGTGATCGACCGACCAAAAAAAAACATAAGCTACGCTAACTGTTTGATAGTAAGCTTGTCCTCTACTCCAGTGGCACAAAAATGCATTAAAACTAAATCCGTAACTCTAAATAACACATTCTGATTAAAAATATCTTACCTCCAGATTTCTTCGCAAGATTTTCTTGTCTATCATGCTTAGGAGTCATTGTAATTCCTTTAGTTACTGCAGACACTTCTACTGACATCGTTATAGGTTTGGATGATATCGTTACAGCACTAGTCCTAACTGTTGTAGGCGTAGGCTTAAGTGTAGTTGTAGTAGGCTTAGGGGTAGCTTTAGGGGTAGGTTTAGAAGTAGGCTTAGGAGTAGGCTTAGGAGTAGGTTTAGGAATAGGTTTAGGAATAGGTTTAGGAGTTGGTTTACGAGTTGTAGTGGTAGTACGAGTAGATGCAGTAGTGGGAGGTTTAGTAACCGTAGTCGGTGCTTTCGTTGTTGTAATCGGTCTTTTGGTAATGATAGGTGGTCTTTTAGTAGTTGTAGATGTGGTTGTAGGTCTTCTAGTTATTGGTCTTTTCGTAGAAGTTGTTGTTGGTAATGTCAATTTGGTCAAGGTTGTATCTGTAATAGACTCAGATATTTCCGTTCCATTAGCCCCCTCCGGTGTTGTCGCTATAAGTTTCTGAGTTTGCGGTAACGCTACTGTAGAACTGACTCGCGTGTCTGAATCTATTGTGATTCCTAAGGACGATGAATAGACAAATTACATTGTTGTTTATTTTGTTAATATAATAATATTTAAAATGTATATTTCTTAACCAAAAAATATGTTTCATAACATTTTTATCAAAGAAAATATAGAAGAAATTACCATCCAAATCGCAGACGTCCAGGAAATCCGGACAGCAGTTCTGGGTGACGACACAGACGATGCTACAACTGCAGCCTCTGTAGCCTGTCGTCTCAGAGTAGAGGTCACAGCGACCCACACATGATTCCTCTGGAAAAAATTAACATTAAATTACGGTGGATACTTCAAGATAACCCAAAAAAATTAAATTTTCTTAAGCTTTTTGCAACCTTCATCTCGTTATCCGATAGTATGGTGTCGAATGCACTATTTTAGTAAAAACTTGATGCTACCGACCTTCTCTAAGTTATAGATGAAGATTATTTTAAACTGATTGAATATTATTAATTAGGAAGTTTCTTGTTCGTTCTTCTCCATAGGAATTTATACTTTGGAACGAACAAATAGCTTCACTTAAGGACCGACCGACAGACTGACGTTTTTAATTTCGTATGACGTTATATTTTATACTTACGTAAAACCGATGGTGGTGTGGTGGCTTCGAGCATGGCTTTGGTACAGTTTTCCCCATGTTGTATAGACACGTCATCAATGGCAATGTCGCTCATAAAACTATTTCCTCTGATGCCTTCGATAACGATCTGTTGATTAAATATGCCATTGGTATTGCTTATACGAGGTGAAACAGACTAAACGCGATGCTATGCAAGAGTAGCTTTAGGATATGAAATCTAACATCTTTTGGAGATTCAAAAAATATTTCATAGTCAGTCGCAGACTGCTTCGTTGGCCGATTGGTCGCAAGTAAGCCGGACAAGGGGTCTCGGGTTCGATTCCCGGGTGGAGCAGAGATCAGTGAGGGCGTAATCACTCATATGGTGAAACACAAGGCTTCGGTTATTTCACGTCTGTTGCATGTGAGGCCGTGATATCACTCAGGTCGAGCCGGCCCATTCGTGCTGAGGCATGGCTATCCCACGCTTTTTAGAGAAGTCGTAGGTAAAATCCATACTAACCTGAAAATTGTCACCGACATCAGAAAGCATTGAGACACTACTGTACCACTCGTTGCCCTGATCCCCCCATTGCTCAAATAGCGTGTAATTGTTCCTTCTAGAAACACTTAGCAGTTGATACATTGGTACTTTATCCGGTTTCTGGTAAATCCGGAGACCACCCATACTCCTGTGAAAATAATTAGAAGCTTTAGTATTTCTAACGGAACCGTTTGAGAATGCTCGACTAATCTCAACCCTTAATGGAGGCTCATAAAATGCAGCGGATCCCGCACGAAGCAACTATTTTATTTATAACCCACAAATTGTTGTTTCTGGTCGGGGTTCACCCACGGTACAGGAACAAAATTCTAGTGTGGGCAACGTTCAATAGTTAAAATACTTATAACAATAACAACTAGTTAATATTAATATTTACAAAGAGGCTGTACTGGCTGGTAGTAGTTCGATGTGTTTTGTAACCTTTAACTGCAAATTTGCACTTTGAATGCAAATGACACGACTGCAATAGAACTGCAATCGGACTGCATGTTTAGTTTGCAACCGTTTGGTCACGACTGCAATCAGACAATTGAATGTAATTGAACTGCAGCAGTTCAATTGCGGTCGTGGCAACTCTATTTAACTCGTTGAGTACCGTCATTATAGACACAATTAAAGAACAATAGGTTGCGGTCACCGGTGACCGCTCGGTGTTTGACAGTTTAAAAAGCATTCGAATTTAAATTGCGGTTGAATTGTTGTTGAAATGTGGCCATCTGTCGAGAGCATAAGATCGAACTCTGAGACGCGCCTTTGGTGAGACTGATGTCCAATAGTAGACAAAACCGGCTGATTATGATTAAAAAGTGCATAAACCAAATCTTTAGACCGATAGAAAAGATGAATAACTGTGCTGATAATGAATGATAAATATGTACTGCCAAAATAATAGATAAATGAAAAGATAAGAAGATGTGTCTGTGTGATGAAGATGAACGAGATACAATAATTACTAAATTGCGTGTGTACAGTATCTAGTTAACTACCCAGTAAAATTTGTATTAATAAGTAGGTTTTAATATTTTTAACCGACTTCCCAAATTGTAGGAGGTTTTAATACGGCTGGTATCTTTTTTTTATAAGTATTTTTATTTAAAACTTTCCTACTCCGCCTAATCTTACCAGAATTGAAAGACATAGACAACAGTATATATTACATATAGGTTATTAGATAAATACTTAAAATAATTTATACTACTTAATAAGGCTGAAGAGTTTGTTCATTTAAATGCGCCAATCTCCAAAACTGCTAGTTCGAAATTGAAGATACTTTTTTGAGTTAGACATTTAATGTATCGAGGCTATAAAAAAAAAGCATATATACGGTCGAATTGAGAACCTCCTCCTTTTTTTGAAGTCGGTTAAAAATATCAAGCTAGTATTAATGGGACCCGAGCAGTACCTAGGAGCCGCTGTAGAAGCTAATGGTAATTAATTTGAAATATCTACAATCCTTACCTTCCATACATATGATAGTAAAATATGAAGCATCCGTTCTTTGCCAGTTCAGCATCAAAGACTGGAGACAAGAGACGTGCTGTGTCGTTCTCAATTCTGCCCGTACTTTCTATGTACATGTAGTAACCTAGGAACAAGAGAGTACTATTTAATATTTACCCGACTGTAGGAAGAGTAAATTGTTATTTATTGTTTTTTTAATAGAACGGTACAAATTCCAATTACACTACTCAGTACATAATTACTTAATACATGTTATTAAATAATCGATAGATTTTTTCTTATTTTGTTTTCTTTCCTTTCTATTAATTATTTAAATTTTTCTATTAGTTTTACTGTATTTTAAGGGGTACATATTTTTCTTTCTGATTTCTAAAAGTTACTAATGAGTATATTTGTAGAACAAACTATCATTAATTGGAAAGTGAATGTATGTATAAGAGTCATGTTTCGTCAGGGTGGACTCGATCGGAGTGATACCACAGGCCTAGAGAAAACCGGCGTGAATTAACGCTTGCGTTGTGTTTCGCCGTGTTTGTAGTTATCGGAGGCCTAATAGGCCTATAGATAACGCACTTGTAACCTCTGGCTCTGGTGTTGCGGGTGTCCACGGGCGGCATTGATTACTTAGGTACATCAAGTGCTCCGTGCGCAACTTTGCCGCCCTATTAAAAAATTAATCATATATGCAGAATAGGGTAGTAATAACACATTTTTTTATTTTGTCGTATAAGAAAACAATACTTAGATAAAACGGAGTTAAGTTTAGGAGCGGGAGGTCGTTACGTCACGCTACCCTTTAATAAAATATAGTAAATCGTGACGTCACACGATATTTCAAGTGAATATATCGTCGAAAGTATTTTATTTTGTAAGAAAAGAAAAAATACATGTCTAAAGTTTTAAAATAATCTACCAGACGGACATTAAAATAACATTTAGTATACTACCCTATTATATTAAAAGGATCTATCTGGTCGTATTCAAGCTCATAAAAGTCGTGAAAACAACAAAATGTAATATTTATACAGTCGTATGTAAGGTATACCAGGTGACAACTTGGCTGCGCAATCAAATCAACTAATCTTCTATATATATAAAAGAAAGTCGTGTTAGTTACACCACTTATAACACAAGAACGGCAGAATAGATTTGGCTGAAAATTGGTAGGGAGGTAGCTTAGAGCCAGGAGACCGACATAGGATACTTTTTAACCAAATTTTTACTTTTTACCGAAAATCACGAACGAGGACGGGAAATAATGGGATTACGCATACGAAGTCGCGGGCAGAAGCTAGTATTAAATATTAAAACAAATTTTGTTCTAAGCTGTTCTCTGTTCCTCTATGTAGTGATCTTACCTGAGCCATTCTTTCCATAAGTATGATCATAAGTGGGTCCAGTTTGCAAAAAGGAACTGGGTGTCTTTTTATTTAGTCTCCTCCAATCGAAATCATGTAGTTCGTCAGGTTTCCACCCACACAGGTCTGGCCGCTCGAAGTCACATTCCGTTGACACTTTTGCTGAACTATCTGTAATTTATTTGTATAGAGCAGCATTGAGTATACGAAACATTAGGCTACATAAAAACTTAAGTTTTTTTTTTAAACATAAGTAACTTAGTAAGTAGTTTCATTTTGAAAATGCAATTTGTGTTGCATGTTAATTTGTACTTGGTTTTTTTTTATTTCTTTTTATTAATTATTAAAATTAATCACGATAATATTTAGATTTTTTACTGCATTTTAGCAACCAACGTTTTTAAATTTCAGAATTTGCGCCAAATATTTAGTGTTGCCAGTGTTCAAACAAAAATTACCCCGATTCCGGGTTATTTGATAATTTATTTTCAGAACAAGGCAAATCAAATCTTACAAAAAATTTAAATTAAATATGATAGGTATATGAATTCTAAAGGGCCCACGTCGCTGGACTGGTGTCTCTACAAGACAAATTAAACTCTTGACCATGTGCTGAATGTTCGTTAAAGACAGATTGCAGGAAAATAACAAAAAAAATTATACATATAAAATTGACATTTTACCAAGACATCCAGGCACAGTTGAGTTCCATTTGGATCCATCGCAGTACACTACTGGTGAACCAATGAGTTGATGGCCGGGCAAACAGAAGAAAACTATATACGCATTATTGTGATATGTCATATTTACAGAATTCTTCACTTCTTCTAATTGTGGGCAGCCCGATTCTTAAAAAGATGATAAAAATAGACATATATTTTTAAAACTGTTTAAATTCAGTAATATGGGATAAATTGGCGATTTTATAAATACTTACTGACACAAACGGGTGCAGGGACATCCCATTGGCCAAATCTGCACGTGGCATATTTGTTGCCAACTAAGGTATAACGAGGAGAACACGAAAACTTAATAAATGTCCCCCTTTGCCGTGGCCGTGCTCGACCATTTTTTATTCGACGCATCGGACATGATGAAGGTGCGTAATAAAAATCTAAAAAATAAGACAACAATGAACAGATTTATTAATAAACAGATTTTAGTACATAATTACATTATGAATTAAGAAAAATATTGGGTATAGTTAAATGTTTACCAAAATTTATATTTTCCTTCTGGTTTTCCGACTTTCATAAAAACTTTATTCTTTATGTATTTTACCAAATTATCTAATTATTAAAATTTTGAAAACGTTTATCTATGATGGCTTATTTTCGTTGCTGTTTGTAAGACTAGCTCTTAGTTCAAAAAATGTTGCATATTTTTTATGAGATCATCTCAATTTTAGTTTTTCATACTTAGGGCCTCAGCCGCCTACGCTTTTATTTCCATGAGGACGGAAGTTTGATGTCACGCATACAGTCAAGAGTATGCGTCCGGCTGATAAAATTTATAAACCATGTTTTTAATGCATGTACATATAAATTAATATTATTGTTTATTTATAAAGTACACCTAGGAATTAAGCTCTAGAACAATAGTAATATTTATAGTAAAACTAGAAAATGATTTGCCGCATTGTTTGGATAATGTTGTCCTTATCTTGTAGAGGTGGGCAATTGTGGTTAGCAATTTGGTTTCATATTATCATTGTTATTATAAAGTGGAAAATATAACATTATATTCTAAGTATAAAAAATAGATTAAGGTAATTATTAATTATTTATTATATTTAATTTAGTTTCATTGAATATCTTTTATCTTTAGATATGTGGGTAAAATACACCAGTAACGTTAGTCAAACATATTTTATTTTCCTGCTAATTATTTTACATTTGATAACGCAATTTTAACTACATGTGTTGCAATTAAATAGGGATGTCTCGTTGGTAATAAAATATTATTTCCACTTATAAATATTTAAAAATAGTGGTACTCTGGTTCAATTATTTAATATTTAGCTAATTTATAAGAAATCCGTAGTAAAGTTGACGCAAAATAACTACGACGTCACAACCCAGCATTCCCATAAAAAAACTTATCGATTTTGACTTCCTTGGTCCTTATTAGTGGCCTGTTTTGTAAACAACTAATGTACTAATTACTAGGAAAAACACATGAATAAAGTGCATAGTGATTACACTGAAATATTAATGAGTTTGTATGTAGTAATCAAAATGTATTATCGACGAAAAAATAATTAATTACTTGATTACATATTCTTATTCATGATTCTAAACGTTCTACTTTGTAGTTCCCATGGTTGAAAGACTTTAAAAGCTAATTGATCAAATAATATTTACTTTACTGTGTACTAAGTCGGGTACCTACACCAGTTGCTTCCGACTGGTCTATCTAAAATCATTGGGAGAGGGTTATATTCAGCGGTGGACGACATATGGCTAATAATGAAGCACGTGACGTTGATAGAATGCACTTGTGTTGACCAAATAATCGATTGAATAAACAAAAGGCGTCTAAATATAAAAGTATCCTCAACCAATGACCGATGAACAAATTTCGAGGAATCAGTTTTAACAAATCGTTTTTAGTTTAATAACTTTATCATATAAATATAAAATCTTTGATGATAAATCACTTAAAGTAAATTATTAAAATCCTAAATTTATTGCAGTTATACCTACAGCAAAGGAGTTAAGCAGACTATTTCGGATCGAGCCCAAATTTGTTAATCAAATTTTTGCCCTTTAATGACACGTGATACACCCACATTATCACTGTGAACGGACATGAAAGAGATAGCAACGGATGTGAACAGTAACCAAAAATCAGTCACTGTATTATCAAATACTGAAAATGGTACTTCAGTTTTATGTAATTATTCGTTATATTAATTATGATGATTAAATATGCAAGTTCTGTATAACACAGAAAAATTACAATATTATCCATGGGTGTTAATGAAATGAAGTTTGGTTCTTAAAAAACAGTGATAAAGGAATTCTTTTTATGAACCTTTAACAACGCGGTTAGAAGTTAGGCATGTTAAGTAACGCCGTTAAATCTAATACTCATACTATAAAAATACAAAAATGTGCCACTATAGTAGGTAAATAAAATTATTTAAAGTTAGTAAATTGAGTTATTGCTAATTAACTAGATTGTCTAAATATATCACATACAAGGAAACGTATTCATGAAAGTGAGATAAACAAATACTAATAGTTTGAAAATTTTGAAAACTACACATATAAACACATTGGTAAATAAAACTTACCTGCTTCAACAAAACTGAGTACAAATAACAATAATAAACACTTAAGAAACATTTTCACTTAGAACTATTACAATACAACACAAATATTGATATTTTACTTTAAATAAATCAAAAATAAATAATTTTTATGTTACTTTATATTTCTGGACTAGACTGCATATTATTGGGTACACATTTTAAATGTGGGTTTCATTTATATTGTTCGTGTTATTCATATCGCTCCCGACAAAGATTAAAAGTTACGAGTGCGGTTTGGTGCCTACCACAGTTGTTCCTAAATATGATTGCACTGTACGGCGTTGGTTAAGTAGTGTTTTAAAACGAAAATCTGATTTTACCCAAAGAAAACTAAACAAAACCAAAAGTTTTTTTTTATTTCATAAAGTTCCTAGTTTCTGAATGTAAAAATACCAAAATTTTTTGAAAACAATTTATATTTAGAAATTTTTAACCAGTTAGGTAGTAAGTAAGCCATATACTTATACGAATTGCACTTCAATCAATCAAATTCATGAATAAGTAAACGTAAATTAGGTATAAACCCAATTTTCTCTGTACAACATTTCTGTAATTTTTATAATCTTTGCTCTGCACGGGATGTACATTTATCAGGGGCGCTTCCTTTAGACTTTCCACCGATATTCCATTGAATACTATCTGACCATGGTATTTTGTAAAAACAGATTAGTTTATGCTAAAGCCATTCATTTGTATTATCATAACAACATGTTTATTAACAATACGTAGTGAATCATTTCGTTTTTTTTAGATTCCGGATAAATGTGTCAGTCAGGATAGGATATGATAATGCTATTCCGGTAGGACTTTTACGTAATGGGAAAAGAAATACAAAATACAAAATCTACTATCTAATAAAAAATTGCTAATATAATAATGTAATCAATCGCATGTTATTATCGTAGTGATTCGAAGGTAAGGTGCCACGCTTTTCTGAAGTATGAGTCATCATTGTCAGCAGCTGATCACCCCTTACCGTACCTAACGTACTACCCCTTACGTATCTAACTGTCTTATTACTCTTCTAACACGAAGAAGGAATATAAGGATTAAATACCACGCAAGCGATAAAAAGATTCCAAAGATTTAATTTTAAGTTCAGGTGCTAGGCTGTTACTAGGAAAATATCATTATTCCGACACGATCTCTCTTGTTTTTATTGTTTATCATTTTCTACATACAAGTTTACTATTCTATGTCATTTCCTTTAACAACGTGTCACTTTAAAGTCATAATGATGCCATTATATTAGGTGATGGTAATCAAACTTGTCAAAATCAATAATTTGAAATCAATGATAGGCCATTTTTTTGAAGTTAGGAATTATAGGATAAGATTTTATAAATTATGGGGTAATTTACTTTATCTGATGGTAACATTTGTGTATTGTCAAATGAAACCTGGCTGCGCGTTCCAAATTTCCAGTTGTCCAGTACACACATTATACATCTTCTATCTCACCTAAACTGTGTGAGTGAAAAAGAGACAACAAATACTACAAATGCTGTATTTTAATTTAATTGATATTGTTGGCGATGGAATTATTCACTGTTAAGGATTGTTTGAAAACAAAAACAAAGTAAATTATAAAATGAAACTGTATCATTACGTTGTTTTTATTTTTATTTTGTGATAAATATAATTAAAAATCCTTTAAATATGAACAATTTGTGCAGAATTTGTTTAAAAGTTTCTGACGAAAATATGCAAAACGTGCAAGAAAGTGTAATATTTTTTAAAATTCGAACATTTCTAACGATTGAAGTAAGTTAGTTTGTTTTGTTTAGAAGTTTTAACGGTATTTTTTTTGTATTAAACATTTTATCCCATAAAGATACTCATTGACCGATCACTTGAATTTCTATTCTTATTATCGTCGTCATATCAGTCAACAGACGTCCACTGTTATAAACAAAGGTCTCTCAACCTCCAGTGAGTTCCAGGTCGGCCGGTTGGAAGCGACCTATATCCAGCGCGGCTCCCTGCGACAGTTATAGGTCTTCCGCTCATTTTGGAGGTTGATATTATAGTGCTGCACTTGTTCTTAATATCTATTTCATACTTATACCTACATAAAAATAAACCAAGCATTCATAATGTTTTATTAAATCTTCTAAGTTACATAACATTAAATCACGCCTTTTTATCCCTGAAGGGGTAGGCAGAGCTGCACATTGTGGCACTTAGTGCCACTGTGCAATGTAACACCCACTTTTCACTATTTATGTTGAGTCCTGTGTAAAAGTCTAGTTACATTTTTCCCAACCCGGGAATAGAACCCGAGACCCCTTGCCTGGCAGTCGCTTGTGACCACACGGCCAATGAGGCAGTCTTCTAAGTTTTCCACTCATAAAGTAATTGAATTTCACATAATATGTACCTAAATGGTCTCTTTTATTTCAGATATCAACGGAAAATTCATTGCCCAAACAAATATGTAAAGAATGTTCAAATAAAACAACAGAATTGTATCAATTTTGCTTAAGTATTCAAGAAAATGAAGCCAAATTAAAATCATATATAAAAAATGGATGTTTACAAGAATATTATTCTAATTTAATAAATAATATAGATTTTAAAGATGAAAAGACTGATATTGTATTTTGTGAGAATAATGATGTTAAAACTGAGACTGAGAACACCTATTCTGAGTTAGTAGAAACAAACAAAAATGTAATTGAAAACATAGATAAATGTGATGAACATTTAAAACAAGAGTGTTTCATAGATGATATTCAAGATGATCATTACAGTTCTAATGAGGAATTAACACTAGCAACTATAAAAAGTATAAAAAAAGAAAAAAACCTTACAGAAAACAAAAAAAAAGTAAAAACAAAAAAGAAGTTAAAACAAAAGACTAAAGAGGAACTGTCCAATGATTCAAATACTTCCACAGATAATATAAAACAATTTACTTGTTTATCTTGTTTGAAGATATTCGAAGCTCAGAACAGCCTTATACAGCATTATCATACTGAACATTTGAAAAAAGGTAAAAATTCATCTGTGAATTATTCTGAATGTAATTTGGATGGAAATATAACATATAGTTGTAAAACATGTGAGCATACATGTAATATAAAGAAAGATATAATAAAACATGGTGCCATTCATTTTGATGAGAGACCTCTGATTTGTAAACTTTGTGGTAAGTGCAACAATTCTATTTACTATTCAATTCCAAAGCGGTCGCTGGTGACCGATCTCTACTAACTCCATTATAGACCTTATTTCCGATGTTTAGAGACTAATTTTGTATGAACTTATTTTGGGAATTTTCGGTAAGATATATCAACATATTAAACATAGTTAGCTAGCCAAAAAATAGTCTGGGGACACTAGAGTGTATCCTGGCCTGGATCGTAATTGAATAAATAAAACATACAAATTAAACATTGGTAATTTATTTATTTACTAGCTTTTACCCGCGGATTCGCTCGCGTCACAAAAGAATAAAAAGTAGCCTATGTGACATATACCTATCAACACAGCGCCATCTATACCAATACTTTTGTTTTTCCTCGGGAATATCAATTTTTTCCGGGTTAAAAAGTACCCTATTATTTAATCCGGACTTCTAACTTTACGTCTGCAAAAATTCAAAGCAATCGGTTGAGTAGTTACGGCGTGAAGGTGGAACAAACAAACAAACAAACAAACTCACTTTCAGATTTATAATATTAGTAAGGATAAGGATTTGTTTTTATGCACATGTATAATTTTACAGCACAAGCCAAAGCATTATGCAGTTAAACAGTAAAAATTACTTATTTACTACTTACATTTATGTAATAGGTATCTTATATAAAAACAATATACCACATTATCAAACAATAGAGTATAATTTCTAAAAAAATTAATAATCCATATTAATGATACTATCTTCAGGATATCCACTACTGACCACGGAGTCCAATGACTTTGGAACAATAACTTTAATGATGTAATTAACTGTGAAGTTTGTCTTAAAAAAAGCAAACAGTCAATGATAGGTACTCAAATTTCCTCTAATCTAACTAATCCCCAAACTTGTCTGCCAAGCATGGGGATTATGACCAAACGAGGCGAAGGCCCAACGTTTAATCATATTGATACCTCTTGTAGCTGTTCAAACAAATTCTTCACAGGTAGAACTTATAAAACAGTTCCAGAGATCATCCGGCACTCTAGGGTCCATAATGGTATAAAACTTCAATGTTCATACAAGTGTGGCTACAGTACTGCTTACCAAGGAGCTTTGAAAGAGCATGAAAATAGACACCAGAATGTCTATAAGGTATGTATTACAGGTGAATAGAAACAGAAGAGCGGTGAGGGGTATTGATATTCTTTATAACATAACATCACGCCTTTTTTATCCCCGAAGGAGTAGGCAGAGGTGCACACAGAAGTATCACCCACTTTTCACTATATATGTTATGAGTCCCATGGAATAGGGGGTGAGCCTATTGCCATATACCGGGCACATTTCCAGACTCCATGCTACTACTGAGATTTTTTTAAAAGCCACTGGGCTTTTATACTTTGCCCCGCCCGGGAATCGAACCCGAGACCCTTTGCCCGGCAGTCGCACTTGCGACCACTTGGCCAACGAGGCAGTCAGATATTCTTTATAGTACCTATCATTTTACAGTAGGTACTTTTATAAGGGACACTGGCCTCTCCCTTGATCCCATTCTAAAACTGATTTTTTAAAAATTCTTAAAACCTTCGATGACATTTTCTCAATCCTGAAATACCTACCCGGGACCCGAGACTAGACGTCACTGACATACAGTGAAGGTAAACATCGTGAGGAACTTCAAACTCGTCAATCCACCTTGAGCAAGCGTGGTAATCAATGCTCATTCCTTCTCCGTGTAAAAGTAGTATTCTCAGCAGTCATCATAGAGTGATGATGATCAATAATTCCAAACTTTGTTTTTTTGCAGTACACTTGTGATAAATGTGGTGTTGGTTTCCACGTGAAGACTTGGTATGAACAGCATCAGAACATTCATACTGGACTGAAGCCTTATATCTGTGATATTTGTGGTCATGCCTTCCATATGGCCAGGTAAGGATAGAATAAAATAAACTTTACCTATTGTACACCATTAATAATATACACTTCTGGACACATCTATTGGCCCACCTTGTATTTTCAGTTTCGTTTGGTCCTACCTAAAATTTTATATTAAGGTCGAGCAAAAAGTTTTTATGCAGTTTTGAACCTGGCACATTCACAATTTCATTCAATAGTATTTTTTTGAATTTTGAACACAGAATTTAAAGAAACAAAAGACAATTTGGAGCCTGTTTGTTGATATCAAAAAATCGAATACCTACTAAGAAAAATGTCGTATGGTATTCTGAATTCAAATTTAAAACAATACGATCGAAAAAGATGGTAAAATGTATCAGGTTTAAAACTGCATCACCAGTTTTTGTTCAATTTAGCAATCATATTTCGGTAGGGGCTATCGAAACCTAAAATTTAAGGTGGCCTAATAGATGCGTCTAGATGTGTAATACATACAGAAAAAGGGAAATGACAAGCATATATAAAAAATAATAATTGGCACAAAGGCGGTCTTATCACTTTTAGTGATTTCTACCAGACAACCTTTGGGTAAATATTTAGACGGGTTGTTTGCTACGAAAATAATAAATAAAACAGTACTTAACATTTCTCATCAGTATAGCAGTATTCCTGCACGTAGTACACTGCAAGTAGAGCAGCTCTTGGTGTGATCCATAAATTTTTGTTCCGAGTCTGGATGTCATGTGTATGTGAAATTATATGTTAGTAAACGCACCCACCACATAGGAGAAAATCCAAGTGTGGGGCAACATTTAAAAAAAGGCCCTCACAACTAACGCATCACCAAATCTCCCCCTCCAAACCTCTTTAATCCTTATCTTTTTTCTTTTACCATCTCCTATCCTCAAAAGGCCGGCATTGCTTACCACCAGATGCTCATTCCTGCCCTAATCCTTATAAAAATGTTTCCCAACAATTGTTCTGCCATGGCGAACATCTACTGCTGCACTACGGACCTCCTTTTAAACTGCAAAAAACTCGTCCGCCAAGCATGGTTATTATGGTAAAGTATCTATAAAAGTATCCAAATATTAGCTGACCCGGCAAACTTTATACCGCCAATTTTTATTTATTCACCTTTTAAACCTCCCCTGGACTTAACGAACATTTACAGACCAAAATTAGCATAATCGGTTCAGCTGTTCTCAAGTTTTAGCGAGACTAACGAACGGAAATTCATTTTTATTTATATAGGTAATATTTTTCGATAATTTCAGATACTTGTCAGCCCACAGGAGTTTGAAGCATCCGCAGTCGTCAAGCGTGAAGCGATATACTTGTGTGCATTGTGGACACAAGTGCGATAGTGCCAACAGTCTTGCTCTGCATATGGAGGTGATTTCATAAATGTTTTTATGAGATAGGACACAAACGAGCAGACGGATCACCTGGTGGTAAGCGATCAGCGCCGCCCATGGACACCCGCAACACCAGAGGAGGCACAGGTGCGTTGCCGGCCTTTTAAAAAGGAATACGCTCTTTTCTTGAAGGTTTGAAGGTCGTATCGGTTCGGAAATACAGTTCGAAATAATAAATAATCTTATTTTTCTATCATTAAAATATGTATTATGCGGGTGAGATGACCCATGATGAGAGTGTGGTCAACGTTAATTTAATAATATTTGGTTTGTATTGCTCATGTTATTTTCTATTAAAAAAAGCATATATAAGGTCGAATTGAAAACCACCTCCTTTTTTTGTAGTCGATTAAAAACTTCTAGTATTTTTTGTTCCTATAGGCAGTTCTATAGCGTCTTTACCATTCCTGCACGGAGCAAATCTTTGTGTGGTCCACATATTGTTGTTTCTGGTTTGATTGTCATGTGTATGTAAACTTGGATGTTTGTAAATACACCCATGATACAGGAGAAAATCCTAGTGTGAAACATTCCAAAATGGCTTTGAATTATTGCTGTCCAGTAATCTGACTGAATCAGTGGGCCCCAGCGTAGTCTAAGACGACCCTGCTTGTATGTAAATTACAGTTTAGTTTAGCTGCCATTAATAATCACTCCAATAACAGCCAGTAAGTTCAATCTGAATTTCTTTATATCCAACCACTACCTAATCTTTTGTGATTACACGGCCACAATCACAGAAAACCGAGGTAAGTATAACAACGCTTGCTTTGTGTTTCTCGTTTTCGTGTGAGGTTACCGGAGGCCCGATACACCCCCCCCCCCTCCACGATCCCCAAATCCCCCACAATCGTCGAATTCCCAACTCTCAAAAGGCCGGCAACGCCCTTGTAACAACTCTGGTGTTTCAAGTGTCCATGGTCGGCGCCGATTACTTACCATTTGATCCGTCTGGTCTATTTAAGCCGGTTAGGCTTATTCCATAATAAAAATCAATTTAGGATCACCTATCGATCCGATCGAAGAGTTGGTTGTTTAGATTCAAAGAGACTAAATTATCTTTATCTCATTTCAGCAACATGGCATAAACAAAGAAAAGGAATTTCTTTGTGACTTCTGTGGCAAGATACTCGCTAGTGCTGATCAATTGAAGTATCATCATCGCATGCATTTAGGAGTTAAACCTTATTCTTGCAGGTAACTATGACATACCAGCTTTTTCTGACGTCTAAGCCCCCATTTACACAACAGGTTTTTTAACGTGGCGGTTAAATTCGGTTTTTGTAGGTATGTATGCAATTTAGTCCTTAACGCCCAAAGCCCAGCGTTGAAAATGCATCACAGCTCGATAAAAGCATCAAGTATTAACTCGTCGAGTACCGGTTTTATAGACACAATTAAAGAACAATAGGTCGCGGTCACCGGTGACCGCTTGGTGTTTGACAGTTTAAAGGTGACGTGTGAATATTTTTATTATATACTATTTGAACGCATTTATAACACGACTTAGGTCAATCAATATAAATAAGAATAAGTCGACCGAGTCGACGAACATCAAATGGAACAAAAAATAAAGCTTAATTTACGTATAAAAGTTTGTAACTGACTGATGAGTGTGGCGTGATCGGCACTTTTTGACCTCTCTCTGCGGCGATCAAATTAAAATGCTTAAAGCTCAATATCATGTCCTGAAACACAGGTTTAAATTAAACTAGATCGGGCAGTTCACTTTAAATATACCTTTATTGATATTTTAATTTTAGTATATTCTTAAGCACTGACTCGTTGCCGACTGCCGAGCAAGGCGTCTCGGGTTCGATTCCCGGGCCAGGCAAAGTATTACTGGGTTTTAAAAAATCTCAGTAGTAGCACGGAGTCTAGAATTGTGCCCGGTATATGGCAATAGTCGCACCTCCTATTACATGGGACTCATAACATAAATGGTGAAAAGTGGGTGTTACATTGTACAGTGGCATAATGTGCACCTCTGCCTCGAAAAGGTGGGATGTAGGTATATTGTTATGTTATATTCTTAAGCACTGTTTTGTATTTTTATAATAATGGGAAACCCTGGTACGGTTAATTTAATGTTTATTTTTGGAAACATTTATTTCAATAAATTATTTTATTAAAAAAAAATGTACACCTACCTATAATCCCTGATCTTGTCCACAGTATATGCAACAAAACGTTTGCAAAGAAGTTTAATGTGAAGATCCATATGAGTTCACACAGTGGGGAGAAGACTCATGCTTGTTCCCGATGCGGCAAGAGATATACACAGAGAAGCACGCTGTTACGACACTTAAAAAGGTATTATTATTACTTTTTAATGAGGAAAATCATCTAATGACTTCTCCCGCCTCGTGAGGCGAGAGGGAGCGTCAGACTTACTGACTAGGTAAACATCCCCCTGTTACTACTCCTGCAGTCCTGCTCTTTGAACTGGAGCCCCGGTAACCCGTTAAGTCTTCCGCGGCTTCGCACATCAGCCTTAGTGACTTATAGTTCTATGTCCCCTAGATGTGGCAGAGGTTCTCCATCTCGATCGATCTTGACCTTCTAGCTTCACTTCGCTCCACGTCATTCCGATGCTCGCCGCTTCTGCTATCACAGTCATCAGCCCTAGTGGGCCCCATATAATGATCTGATGGTAGTTCATGTTACATAATTCATCAACATTCATGACCAGAGTCCAATCAATCTGACAACTGTATTATCATCATCAACATGAACTGGGAGACCTCCAAACAAAGGTCTTCACATTGAAGCCGTTTTGCACTAATCCCCATGCTTGGTAAACAGCGTGGTGATTATGAAAAAGCTGTTACCCGTCTTTCAGCAGCTGGGCGCAGTTTTGAGACATGTTATAATTACGTATTTAGGGGATGAACTAACCCAAGCCTAGTAATTAGCTACCAATCCAGTACCTACCAAAAAGTAAAGATGGTAATTTTTGTATTTTATTGTTTCAGACACCATGGTAGTGCATCGCCAAAACGTTCAGAATAACCTGTTGTCACTATTAGAATTACAATTTAATGAATAAGTAATCGATGAAGTATTATCCGTCAATAAATAAGTACCATGTATAGCACAATTGTTTTTTTTATGGCATAAGCCGCTAAACGAGCAGACGGATCACCTGATGGTAAGCAATCGGCGTCGCCCATGGAGACCTGGAACACCAGAGGCGTTAAAACTGCGTGACCGGCCTTTTTGGGGATTAGGAGTTTGAGGATCGTTGGGGATTCAGGGATTGGGGAGATTGGGGAAGGGGAGGGTAATTGGGCCTCCGTTAACCCCACTGACACGACGAAACACAACGCAAGCGTTGCTTCACGTCGGTTTTCTGTAAAGCCGTGGTATCACTCCGGTCGAGCCGAAGCATGGCTCTCTGTTTTGTATTTCAAACTATCTGACCTATTACAGTTACTTTCGGTCGTTATAATATAAACTTTATTGCAAAGGAATAAGATCGAATATCTAATAAATTCGCCACTTAGCGACTGGATTTTGTCGTTATCAATGTCTGGACTACCAGCCCTGGGCAGGGTCCTTAACATAATGCAAATTACGGAACTTAATGCTACTGTACAGTGTAACACCCACTTTTCATTATTTATGTTATGAATGAGTCCCATGTAATAGGGGGTGAGCCTATTGCCATTGCAATATACCGGGCACAATAGGGTAGATGCCTAATTTTTATTTTAATGTCCATCTGGTAAATTATTTTAAATCATTAGACACGTATTTTTTATTTTTTTACCGAAACGAATATTTTCGGCGATATATTGATTTCAAATGTCGCGTGACGTCACTTCTATGTACATTTTATACGTAGAAATGACGTAACCACTCTTAAACTTTGATTCGATTCCATTAAATATGAAAGAAGAAAGAAAGTTCGTTCTTCTCCATTCGAATCTACTTTTTGGAATGAGCACCTAGCTTCACCTAGTTTCACTGACGGACTGACTGACAGACTATTATTTATTTTGTATTTGTTGACGTTTCAAAAGCACCAAACTATGGTTTAATTGAAATAAATGCTTTGACTTTGACTTTGACTTTGAAAGAAAAAAAAACCATTTATTTTTGCGCAAAACACACATAACATAACCAAAAATGAAATAAAATAAAAGCTAAAAATATAAAATGAAAAGAAAATATTTATGTCATGTTCCCTGAAAAAATTAAGTAAAAGGCGTATTGTTGTCCGTTTCACAATTCAGGTTACTAAACGCAAACTGTCAAAAACGATAACGTCAAATCTTGAAAATATTGCTGTTGACTTGTTGTTTTGTTGAGTTATTGAGTGGTTTTGTTATTTTTTCGTTTTACTTTGTGAAATAACAATTATGTTGTGAAGTTTAAATGCATACGTATTATTTACTTCTTCCTACACGTTCGTATAAACCTGCTAAAATCTAAACCCTTAGGATACTAATATGGCGGAAGGATCTGATATAATAATTCTTCATAAGATTTTAATTACCGCTTTTGTTATAACTATCGTGTACAATTATTACACTGAATATGGGATTACAATAATAGAGATTGAAAATCCAACATTTAGTCTTCTGGGACCGTTCAACACAACACAAATTGTTGCGGACGATAACTATAATCAATTGATAGACATTAACCAGTTTACCTTTAAAATAAACCCTCAACCATGTGAAAACTACACAGCTGGGTTTTTGCTAATGATAATTGTAACTTCGAATCCAAGTAATTATGAAAACCGTGAGGTTATACGTAATACCTGGGGTAAAAATCAAGACTCCACAAAAGTAGTGTTCCTGGTCGGGGAATCTGAGAATATTAATATTACAAATCAAATAATCAATGAAAGTAAATCATTTGGGGATATAGTTCAAGGTAGTTTTATTGATGCATATAGAAATATGACTTATAAACATGTTATGGGTCTTAAATGGATAGTTCACCATTGTCCGAAAGCTAAATACATTTTGAAGGCTGATGATGATATCCTGGTGAATTCGCCTCAAATGCTGCGATTTCTGAGTAGGGAGTTGTCTCCGTGGGGCGCTAAGGATCTTATTGCTTGTCGTGTGCGTGAACATACCAAAGCTTTGAGATACAAATCTAAATGGCAGGTGACCGAGAAGGAATATGCGCCGGAATATTATCCAACGTATTGTCCAGGTGTGTCATTTTATTTATTTAATTATTTACACCTTGCACAATGGGTATACAATGGCAGACATGAAGTCTGCCAATTAAGTCTAAATTAAAACAGTCAACCTTAGGGAGATGCAGAGAGACAATAGTATTGCCATATGGCATTAAGTTTGCCTTATGTACCATAAACAAATTATGTACATTAAAGAATAAATAAATAAATAGTAGGTGTGAAAGTTTAACATTTTTGAACATAAATATATTATATAATTATTAATTATACAATATAAACGATACAATATATATGTAATGCACAACTAACAGTAGACAAATGTATGTGACAAATAAATACCTAGAATTATTTAACATTATATATATACCTATACATAATTATACACATATAAATACATAAATACGTAGGTAGGTAGGGTAAATATATGACCTAAGTTTGTGTTGAGTCTGCTAGCCTCTTCTGTAGATGCTCATCACTGAAAAACCCAATAATACTTTGCCCGACCCGGGAATACTTTCAACAAGCAATGATTTATTTATTTATTTTCTAATTTATTACGATTTTACTGTGTAATTTTATTTAACAATAGTTAAATATCACTACCATATTATCCTGTTATTAAATTATATAAAAGTATTGCTGGTATGTTTATATAAATATCGTTACGATGTTGCATTTGACTTAAGCACCACCGACGTTGCCCTCGGGAATAAAATGTGATATTAACATACAATTATTGTTATTCCAGGTTGGGCTATCATATACTCACAAGACGTAGTCCCTCGGTTGCTAAAAGTAGCCCAAGACCTACCATACTTCTGGATTGACGATGTCCACATAACGGGAGTTATCGCTGAAAAAATTGATGTACCTCGCACACAACTAGCCAGTTTTATTCTATCTACTATTAGTATTCAAACGCTTAAAGCCTTAGGACCTAAATACATCCAGCAATTTATGTTTAGCCCCCCAGATATGAGTTTAAATCAAATAACTGATATTTGGAATTTGATCTCGGAATATAAGTATTAATTTCATACTTAAAAATTAATGTTTAGAACATTTCCAAAGGTTTAAGAGCTGTTATTATAATAACTATCGTGAGACATACTAAATGAATTAAAAATCGCGGGTTACTTACGTGAATATACTGAGAAAAGCTCTACTAGTTTCGAGTAACGGAGGGGCTCTTCCTCATGGTAGGCTGCGCGACACCGCCGCGAACGCGCACGCTGCTCATGAAGAAGAGCCCCTCTGTGGCTTGAAACTAGTAGAGCGTTTCTCAGTATATTCACGTGAGTAGCCCGCGACTTTTTATTTAGTTTAAGTTAAGAGCTGTTACTGCTTTACTACCATCAAGCGTCAGAACAAGGAAAAAGAGTGATGAAGTGCACTCATACATTATTACACAAACGCCGCATAATTACATAATAATGCTTGTCAACAAATATTTATTTAAGTACCTAATTAATAAGAAGAGAGTTATTTATGTATACTTACAAAGTATTTTAATGTTTAATAGTCACTAGGAGTATGCTTATGAATGACAATTGACAAGGCAGTATTGCACATGCTGCATCATAATTATGAGTCCCTTTTGTGCCTTGAAACCAGTTGAGCAACCGCCTTGGACATTAATTAATACTTACACAAGGACGATGAAAAAAGGGGGATATAATGACACTTAGAAATGATAGAAGCACCAAAATGTCAGTGAGTTATTTATGTGTGCGTGTGTACTGGGTTACCACGTTACCAGACTTAGAACATGACAGATGTCCTTCGTGTCAATGTGTGTGTATTCTGCGTGTAAGTCTATAGTAGCCAGGTGCCACGGTCGTTGTTTCAAGAGCTGTGTCCGCATTTTTTTCAACATTCTTGTAATTATTTTAGCGATTCTCACAAGAGGGAAGCCTTTGCCCTGCATTGGGACGATCATAACTGACAATAAATATATATAAATTATAAGTAAGACTGCCTCGTTGGCCGAATGGTCGCAATTGCGACTGCCGGGAAAGGGGTCTCGCGTTCGATTCCCGTGTCGGGCAAAGTATTACTGAGTAGTAAGTAGTAGCACGGAGTCTGGATTGTGCCCGGTATATGGCAATAGGCTCACCCCCTATTACATGGGACTCATAACATAAATAGTAAAAAGGGGGTGTTACATTGTACAATGGCATAATGTGCACCTCTGCCTACCCCTTCGGGAATAAAAGGCGTGATGTTATGTAAATTATAAGTATTGTGAGACTTATGGCTGTACAGGTCTATGGTTCGGCTGATAATAAGCGCTCGCCATAACCTAACTACATCTGCAATTAGGTATTATGATAAAATATTCACCGGAGAGCGCCTCCAATATAATATACAAAAATATTTAATAAACCAAAGCTTAAAATTTGTGATATTTAATATTGTTATTATTAAAAAAAATTAAACTGACGTGGTTTAAAATTCTTAGAAATATTTTTATAGATGCACAGTATTGTTAGATATGTACCTAATTGAAATAAATTTAATACCAAATGTGTGCTTAAAATCAAAGATTGTTATAGGAACTAATTTTTTTATTTGTTTTACGTAAAAAGCAATCTTAGAGTGAATACTATTGTGTTATTAAATTTTTATTTTGATATTTTTTTTAAATATATTACGCAATAAAATGTGCCTTGATTAAAAAGTATTTTTCATTTCTTACCCTGTATAAAATATTTATAATAAAGAAATTACTTGACTGGCTCGTTGGACGTGCAAGTACGACTGGGCAAGGAGTCTCTGGGTTCGATTTTCGGGTTGTCCAAATATTACCGAGTTTTCTAAAAAAAAACTCAGTAGTAGCACGGACGTG